GAATATACTAGAGCCCTAAGACAATTCAGTGTGAAAAGGAGTGGATGGAAAATATCAAGAGGCAGCTCCTCGAAAGGGTTCAATGTAAAGGTGGGGAGGGAATTCCAGACAGGGAGACATGAGGTACATGGGCAAAAAAGGATAGCAACCTTATCTGTAGTAGGAGTATCAGTGTATGGCTGTGCCAGGAGCAGGGAGAGGTTGGGGAGAGGCTGTTAGGGAGATCAATAGTAGATGGCACTGGGAAAGTACTCGGAGCTGAGTTGTGAAATACCTTCTGCCATTAATATTAGAGACACATTTAAAATAAAACGCATAGGCTGGAGAAAAGCAGAGGGCTTTAAAAAGATAGAATTTAAGTACTGCTAATTATCTGACAGCACAGAAAAATAACAGAGCAAAACAAATCCTCCCAGCTGTGATCAGCATGCTTAAGGATCTTGAACTTCACAAGCTGGCCAGGAACTAAAACTTCTGGGATCTGATATCCTTGCTCCTGACCTTGCAATTCCAGAGTTAATATTGTGTTCAGTGTCTGAAGGTAAAGGGATCTTCAGACCAGAAAAATATTGTATCTTATTTTTTTTCGTTAGTGATTAGTTTTTGTATCTTTATTTTTAAAATATGTAAACAGTAAGGTTTGTGACTTTACTTAATGAATAAACTAGTCATTAACAAGTTTCTTCATACAACAGGAGCCTAGAAAGTTTATTTATATAAGCTTTTAAGTTTATGAAAGAAAGTTAAGAAATCTGTTACTGAGTAAATAGGGGCTTAATATGCTTTCTTCCATTCCATGGTGTATAGATTGCTTGTAAGAGTTGTGTGAACATATTGCTGTATGTAGAATTGTGGTTCCCAGGAACTCGCTTCATTAGCTGTCATCCTAATTTCTAGAAACACACTTTCAAGTTTATGTTGGCTGGGCTGTGAGGCTGCTGGCTCTGGTCCCTTCTGAGGATTCAGAATTTGAGATCTTGGCCAGAACAGATGACACCGACCAGTGGACAGTCATAGAAATTTTGCCATCAAACATTCTGATTTGGTGTGAGGCCTGTGGAAAAAGGTGTATGCATCAGAGTCCTAGAAAACAGAAGTCACAACTCAAGTTAGGATAATTTGACAAGGGTTTATTGATGATGGCCTAATTACAAAAGTTCAAAGGACTGAAAGTCATATAGGAGTTTCTAAGAGCTGAGAAGTCCTTTCATACCCAGCCTTGCATATCATTGTCTGTTTGGAAAATAAAATGCAGTGTACCTGTGTGCATATGTCAATTGTCTTATGTACAATTAAAACAAATCAGGAGGGGAAAATAAAAGACTAAAGAAAACCTAACATAGCAGAGTGTCTTGGAACCAAATTGTGGTTCTTCAATTTAGAATACTTTGCCTTACGTGGGAGCACAGTTCTGGAGAAAAGTAGCTGGTTCTTTCTGTTTAGCAGATACACCTGTCTGCTGCTGGGACACCCCACTGGCATCTTTATTCTCCATTTCCAGCTCTGCTCAGTATCTGCCTTATTGATTGGCTGCCCACCAAATCAAGAGCTGATCTGCCTTATTGAAAAACCCAGTTGTTCACAATATGTTTTCATTAGTGTACCAAGTGGTATAAACATTTTAATCTTAAACAGCACTACAGTGCCTGCCCTGCCACTTTAAATTAACCTCATTTGTGTTCTCAGTCCTGAGACTGTACAATGGGCTTTTCATTGGCTGAGATGGATGCTATAGCTTTTTTTTTTTTAATTTTTTAATATTTATTTATTTATGGGAGGCAGAGAGACAGAGTGCAAGCAGGGGAGGGGCAGAGAGAGAGGGAGACACAGAATCCAAAGCAGGCTTCAGGCTCTGAGCTGTCAGCACAGAGCTCGAGGTGGGGCTGGAACCCACAAACCACGAGGTCATGACCTGAGCAGAAGTCTGATGCTTAACCGACTGAGTCATCCAGGCGCCCTGGATGCTATAGCTTTAGCAGCTGGTTTACAAAAGAGGTGCCAGGCTGCACCAGGTAGCACGCAGAGAACATTAGGAGACAGTGGGAGAGGGAGACAATCTTTTCTGAAAGTTGTCATGTTTTCCTTTGTAAAAAGCAAAGGTACATGTTTATGGTTACTGGTTTTTTTGTGCATAATGTGAGGTAGGGATCTGATTTCACTTTTTTTCTTATTTGAAATTTTCCCTTATTACCATTTATTGAAAGTCCACCCTTTCCCCGCTGACTTATGATGCCACTTTGTTAGGGATCACTTTTCTTTATATGTGCTGGTAAGATTCTGAGGTCTGGATTGTGTTCTACTGGTTGTTTTATTAAATTCTTTTTTTTTTGAGACAGAGTGCACGTGCGCAAATGGGGGAGGGGAAGATAGCTAGGGAGACACAGAATCCGAAGCAGGCTCCAGGCTCCAAGCTGTCAGCATAGAGGCTGATGCGGGGCTCGAACTCAAGAACTGTGAGATCATGACCTGAGGTGAAGTCTGACGCCCAACTGACTGAGCCATTCAGGCACCCCCTATTTTGTTAAATTTTTAAATCCAGGCTTTCCTATCATCTCTCCAAATGAATTTGGCTAAAAATCTTTGTTTGCTATTTTCTTGGGTAATGCTTCCTCCTTTAATCATGAGTTTTTTGTAATATTTTTTCCATTTTTTTCTGTTCTACAAAAATTTTTAAATTGATTTCTATTTTTCCATGAAAAATTTGTTTTAAGATTTTGATTGGAATTGCATAAATTTATGGGACAATTTGGAAAGATCAATATCTTTAAATATTATTTTGTTATTATATGCATAATATATTTATTCTTTAATTATTTAATTTAATACTTTCAAAAGTTTTGTAATTTTCCCCCCAAAAATTGTCCCACATATGTTATGTCATTCATTCATTTACTTGTTATTTTTTAGAAGGCTTACTTTTCAAGCCAGCAAACTTGCCAGCCTACTTGTATCATTCTTGATTTTAAAGAAATGTGTTTATTTTATTTTATTTTATTTTTGGTTTTTATTATATATATATGTGTGTGTGTGTATATATATATGTATGTATATAATATGTATATAATATATATAATGTATATAATATGTATATAATATGTATAGATATGTATGTGCATGTGTATATGTATACTTTGTGTGTGTGTGTGTGTGTGTGTGTGTGTGTGTGTGGTCCCTGTGTGTTCTTTCACTGTAAGAAACCTGGCTCCCCAAAATACCACATTTACTTATTTGTTCAATTCTATAATATATCTAATGTAATTTTAGAACTATTCCACTATAATCTTAAGTGACAATTTTTATTAGTAAGAATACTTTTATTCTTTTTTTTAATGTTTATTTATTTTTGGGAGGGTGCAAGTTGGGGAGGGGCAGACAAAGGGAGACAGAGGATCCACAGCCAGCTCCATGCTGACAAGCTGGCAGCAGCAAGCCCAATATGGGGCTTGAACCCATGAACTGTGAGATCATGACCTGAGCCAAAGTCATATGTTCAACCCATTGAGTCTCCCAGGTACCTCAAGAATACTATCATTCTTAAAGAATATTTTCTGATAAAATATAGCTTCACCAGCTTTCATCCTTTTTTTCTCACCCTTTTAGTGTCTTTATGTTTCAGCTTTGACTAC